GATTTGTTTGGGAGTCGGTTAAGTGTGCAATGGTATCAGGGGAGAGTTTGAATCCCGCCAGAAAGACCAACTCGGTTGTGCTGAGGCTGGAAGTGACACACACTGTTGAAGAGATGGTGCTGACCACTTCCCGGAGGCAGGGCTGCCCGCAGACCTTCTGTGTGAGAGACGTGCTACCTGGACAGCCCAGAGAGCGAGGCTTGCCTGTACACAGAATGTCTTCATCGATGGGTGTGGTAGTTATGCCGTCTGTTGTCAATTTGAGAGGACTGAGAGCGAAGGGGTGGCGTTTAGTTTGTCAATCGGGTCGCAGGTTGAAGACCTCATTTGGAGGCCCGAAGGAGATAAACAGCTTGTTGGAGGCGGGACACAGTCTCACTCCCTGGGAGACATTCCAGCTGAGAAGACCCATGGAGCTATGCTAGTGCCCTGAGCTGGACGAGCCACGTGCAGACCCCTGCCAGCACTGAGATGCTTACAACGCCACTGGATCCACAAGACTTCCCACTGACTGGCCTGTGGATCTTCCTGAATTTGGCGTCATTGCATGTGTTTCGTGAGTCTGAAGAGGAATTTATAGACTGGGACCGGACATATGGGCTAATATTGGACTTGTGGACTTGATCTGGATGGGGCTGGGATGTTTTCTCTATATTCAATTGCTCTTGTATAGAAACTTCTTTCTTATACACATATGAGTGTCTCTATGAATTGGTTTCTCTAGTCTACCCAGACTAACCCAACAGCAAATAAAACCACCTGCCACTCAGTCAATGCTGACTCATGGCCACCCTAGGCAGGGTTTTCTGAGGCTGAGAATTTTTACAGTGACAGACACCTTCGTCTTTCTCCCCTGGAGCCTTTGGTGGTTTTGAACTGCCGGCCTTGCCCTTACCATGCTAATGCTTACCTGACACCAGGGCCCTGGATAGGCGTTAATCCCTAAGAAATGATGCTTAGTGAAAAAGCAAGGTGGGAAAAACATGGGTGGTGGTGGTGGGGTGGGGGGCAGGGAGGTTCTTTCTCACCATCTCCAGGTGGAGGCGGCCACCATAAATATCGCCCAAATGCAGAAGCCGTGAGGGGTAGAGAGCCAAGGCATCTCTTCTGCAAGGTGGCATGGTTGGGCGGCCCGGGGCAGGACCAGCATCTGTGAGGGAGAAGAGCCCGCGCCTCCCAGACTCTGGTGCTGGCTGGGACTGACTTACCTGAGGTTCCTGGAGTACTTTCTGGCATATTCCTCCCTGACCTCCTCTAAGGTGTTTGCATTCCCGTCCTCCAGGTTGAAGGAGTCTGTGGGGGTGTTGAAGACGAGCGGCCACGTCAGGACTGTGTCCAGTATTTCCCGCCTCTCCGGCTCAAGAGGAGATCCCTGAGGCCGCCCAAGTTCAGGGCTGGAGGCTGCTGTCTGCATCTCCCGGCAGGAGTGGGGGGAGCACACTAGACGGGGGTAAGTAAGGGCTTCTGGGGCAAGTTGTCCAAGAAGCCCTTTCCGAGTTCATTGTCCACTGACTGAGAGCCATTTGCTGCACAGTCAATTCGGACTCGTGGTGAGAATTACGGGTGCAGGGTTGCCTGGGCTATACTCTCCATGGAAGCAGATTGCTAGACTTTGCTCCCAAGGTGCTTTGGTGCGTCAGAACAGCCAACTCCTGACTAGGCTGGACATTGAGCACAAACCCCTTATGCCACCCAGGGATTCAGAGACACTCATGCGCACCCAATCCATGTTTGTTGACTTGGCTTCACCCCATCTCTCTATTTTCAAGAGGAGCCCCCAGCCAGCTCCCCACCTCAGGGGTGGGGAGGGAGGTGGGGGAGGGATGGCGGGCTGAGATGTTATCTGTTACCTTTCAGCTTCAGCAGCGTATCCAAGGTTTGTTCCAGCTCCTGAATATGGCTCTTGGCCCTATTCAGAACCTGCCACTGAGGAAAGAGAAGGACAGGGCTGAAGGCGGCCTTGGGCTGTGGAGGCCGCTCTCAAGGCCCTCTCCCTGGGCTGAGGCCAGGCGCCCTGGGACGCCGTCAAAAAGGACGAGAAGGTGATTCTGCTGCGTGGAAAGCATGAGATTTCATGTGTCTTTTGGACAAGGATTCGCGCCCAAACATCAAGGTGTGCAGAAAGCAGGCCGCTGCCAACAGAGCATGTGAGCACAGGTGGTGGCTGCTGGGCCTGAGGGTGACAGACGGCCGCGGCTGCTCCAAGCCACGCACTCGGCCCCTGCCGGTGGCCGACTGTGGTAGACCCACACTATGTCTGCTTGCTAACCTGATACTCTCCATGCCACCTACATGTTTACCAAACGCTCTTGTCAGCTGCAGCTCCGAATCCTCTCTCTCTCTCTCCTTCTTTTCCTTTATTTTATGTTTTTATGGTTCCCCTTTGTTTTCTATAATGTTGACTTTTATTTTTTTAAATTATCTTTAAAAATCATTTCATCGGGGACTCTCACAGCTCTCCTAACAACCCAGGCATCCATCGTGTCAAGCACATTTACACCTATGTTCCGTCGCCCTTTTCAGAACCCTCATGCCGCCTTTAGTCAGCTGGGCCGGCGATCACCCGCAGGACCCGAGAAGAGCGTTCATTGTCAAGGAGGCCTTCCGTCTGCCTGGGTGCATTGGCGGCGGCCATGGAAGCAGCAGTCAAGAAATCAAAAGGCAAATCAGAGGCAAAGAGCCTCCTCACGTGTTAACACGCAAAGAGGTGCGTGTGGTATGTGGAGTGTGTGGTATGCATGTATGTGCATTTGTGTGTGATACACGGGATGAGTGTATGGCTGTGTGTGTTTATGGTATATGGGATATGTGCAGTTGGTGTGATGTGTGTGTGGTATATAGGGTGTGGTGTGTGTGGTACATGTGTGGTGTGTGTGGTGTGAAGTGTGTGTGCTATTGTGTATGTGTGTGTGGTGGATAGTGGATACAGGCTATGTTGGGGTTTATGGTGGATAGTGTGTTGGGTGTGTGTGTTTGTGATGTGTCACTTGTGAAGTCGGTGTGTGTGTGTGGCATGTGGAGAGTGTGTATGTGTGTGTACAGAGGGACTGGTGTCTGTGTGTGATGGACAGAATGTGGGGGGGTGTATGGGATATGTGGAGGGTGTGGTTTGGTGTGTGTGTGTGTTTGTTACAGTGTAGTGTGGGTATTGGTGGTGTGTGGAGGATGTGCATCTTTGTATGGAGAGTGTGTGGTGTTTGTGGGATGTGTGGAATGTGGGCTACATGTCTATGCTGTGTGGTGTGTGGGGGGTGTGGGCTATGTGTCTGTGGTGTGTGGGTTGTGTGTGGGTAGGGTGTGTGTTTGTGGGATGTGTGGAATGTGGGCTATATGTCTATGCTGTGTGGTGTGTGTGTGGGGTGTGGGCTATGTGTCTGTGGTATGTGGGTTGTGTGTGGGTAGGGTGTGTGTTTGTGGGATGTGTGGAATGTGGGCTATATGTCTATGCTGTGTGGTGTGTGTGGGGTGTGGGCCATGTGTCTGTGGTGTGTGGGATGTGTGTGGGTAGAGTGTGTGTTTGTGGGATGTGTGGAATGTGGGCTATATGTCTATGCTGTGTGGTGTGTGTGTGTGGGGGGGTTGTTTCTGGCCTGTGGCCCATGTGGGGCATGGGCATGTGTGGTGTGTTCATGGGTGGTGGCATGTGCGGGGCATGGGCTATGTGCCTGCGGTGTGGGGTTTGTGGAGTGGAGGGGCAGTGTCCTGGAGGTGCCCTGCTGCCCATGAGTGAGGCCACACAGCCGATGCTGGAGAGTCAGGCTTCTCCTCGGCTCCACGACGTCCCCTCTGACGCCAACCTCATGAAGTCACTCTCAGACATGGCACAGAGCAGCAGCAGACACAGAGCCACGGGGTCTCCTGGATCGGGGGTCTAGGGAGGTGGCTCCAGTCCAGCCCCCACCTGGCACCACAGCCCCTGAAATGGAAAATGACTCCTCCCCTACACTCCAGCCCCCATACCTTCGAGGCGTTGAGGTCAGACTGGGAATAAACGGTTTTCTTGAGGCTGTTGAAGAGCCCCGTCAGGGTGGCCCGGCGGCGGGCCTGAGACAGCCGTCTGCGGGCCACCCGCGGCTCGAGCTCCTCCTGCTGGGCCGGAGGCTGGGGCACCTCTCTGCTGCGGGGGTCACCGCCCTCTGCCGAGGTCTCCATGACAGGCTGCAATGTAACAGCCCGCTCTGATTTTGCCCCGAAGAATAAAGGCATGCGAATAAGGCAAGCGGGTGGAAGCAGGCAAAAGGGGTGCTTTCCCTCACGTGCAAGGTTTCGAAGCAATGAATGTACTCAACGACAGGGACAAAATGACCACCAGATGACAGAAAATCTGATGTGTACACTCCACTTCTGAAGACCCAGGCCGCTCCGACTGGAATTAGCGTGGAGGGCAAACCTGCCTCTGCTAAGATCTCTCCAGCCCATCTCAGATACTCACCAGACACTTGTCAACTGACTGTGGGGGCCGTTGGGGAACCCAGCCGGAGATGGTGTTCCTGACCGTCCACTAAAACCTGAACAGGCATGTCCCTCTCCCTCTAAGGTCTTCGGGCCTGAAGAATGTAGCTCGATTTGATGTGCCCCTGTTTTACAGCCCCCCAATAAGAAGGGAAAGACGGGCCAGCACCCGGCGCACCTTGTTTCGATTCCAGAGGTTTCTGCAGACCAGCGGTTGCCCTTTGGCAACCACATGTGCACTCATAGGTGACTGATGTAGACCCGGGGCTTTTCTGTGCAAGGTGAGTCTGGGACTCTGATTTGGCAGGTGTCTGTGGTACATATGCATGTGTAGGTATGATACATGTGCTATTGTGTGGTGCATATTAGCATGCAGTACATGCATGTATGTGTACAGCATGTGTGGTGTGTGGTGTGGGCGGGTGGTGTGTATGCATGACTAAGTATGACACATGCATGTGAGGCTTGAGGGAACTCAGTATGGGGACAGCAGCAGGGAGGAGGGTGGTGCTATGGGATGAGGCAGGGATGAATCCAGAGATGGTATGTGGCCTCTGGGTGAATTGGGGGAGGGAAAGGTGGGTTGGACTAGGCACTGGCTCAAGAGCCCTGGGGCACAATTCTAGCCCTATGCATGACAAGGAGCCCTGATGACATGGTGGGTTTACCATTGGGGTTAGCATAACCCCAAGATCAGCAGTTCAAAACCACCAGCCACTGCTTAGGAGAAAGATGAGGCTGCCTGGGTCCATAAAGATTCACAGCCTCAGAAACCCCCAGGGGCAAGTGGACTCTCTGCTCTATCGGGTCGCCCTCAGTAAAAATGGACTTGGTGGCTGTAGGTCTGGCTCTGAGGTTTTACGTGTGATAACCCTGGGGGGGGGGGGGGAGGTGTCACAAAGCAGACAGCCAGTGAAGGTCTTTAGCTGGATAACAGCTTAAACTTGGCCCCTCCGAGGGGTCCTGGCTCCAGGATTACCTGGAGCAAAGGCAGGTGCCACAGACCACACAGGTTGCAACACCAGGGCAGTCAGGAGCTGCCCAGAGTGTGAGAACCCGTGTTTCAGCGACTCCAGCGACCGTGGTGCCAGGGAGAGAGCCCTTTCTATGTGCCATTTGGCAGCAACTGGGGTCCCTAATCCTGGGCATGTAAAGACTAGCCGCCACACTCCCTGCCGTCAAGTCCATGCGACTCACAGTGAGCCATAGGACAGGGTAGAACTGCCCCTGTGGGTTTTAGAGGCTGAAACTTTACGGGAGTAGAAAGCCCCGGCTGGTTGTTTCAAACTGTTGACCTTGCGGTTAGCGGCCCAATGCATAACCACTTGGCTACTTAGGGCTCCTAAAAAAACAGCCAAAGCTTTTATAGATTTTTCCTTTCGAAATGGTGTGCTCAGCCTGGCTCCTCAGACCAACTTGCCAAGCAGAACCAGTCTGCCTGCGCTTCTAGAACAGCTTCCTGGTGTGTTCTCTGCAGCACCATCCCGGGGGGATTCCGCCCATCCCCAGCTTTACTTTTATTGCTTCTCATCTGTAAGCCGAAGCACTTGCCCAGGCAAACGCTTTCCTCTTAGAATCCCACTTACTGCCCACTTAGAGGGGTCATTAAAAAAACTTTATAGAACCCCACACGCAAAAAGAGGGGGTTCCCTGTCTCCACATTCCAGTCACTTTTAAGCACCCGCTCTCCGCCGCCAACTTTACAGCGCGAACTGCTGACACCAGCAGCCTCTGAGCAAACCATACAACACACACACACACACGCACGCACACAACATGGTAGCTCCTTGCACGCCACAGGCAGAGTTCTTCGGTTCCCAATACGTATCCGATTACAAACCCACTCCCATTGAGCCGATTCCAACACATCGCGACCCTCTATACGGTTTTGGGGGGCTGTACATCTTGACAGGAGCAAACAGCCTCGTCTTTCTCCCGCGGAGGGGCTGGGGGATTTGAAGCGCTAACTTCATCGTCCCCAGAGACATAGAGGGGGATCGTGATGATCATTGCATTCGCATGTCCCCAAATCCCCCCCCACAGACCTAGATGTTGGCATCGCCAGCTGCACCCCTTGCTGGCAATGGGGGCAGCACCCCGCGAGGCTGGCGGATACTCACCCGCTGGGCGGAGCGGAGCGGGCAGCGGCTGCAGGGCGTCCGAGCTCCGCGCTCTGAGCGCAAAGCCATGGGACCTCCTGTCCCCCTGGAGACACAGCTCGCACCTCAGCCCGCGGGGACCAATCGCCGGGGACCCACCCGTGTCGCAGCCAATGAGAAGGCCGGGCGACAGCCAATGGGAGTGCGTGGGGGGGAAACAGGGTAACAAGTCCGCAGGCGACAGCGAGGAGGGGCCGCGTGGGGTGGGGTGAGGCTGACTTTTTCACCCCTTGGGTCACCGGGGTCAGGGCCCTGGGGGAGAAGTCCCAGCCTGTATCTGCTCCAGGGCCAGAGCGGGCATCCTCGAGCTGGCCACATGCACCTGACCTGGACCTCGGTGTTCTCACCTGGAACGCGAGGCAACGTCCTCTTCCTTATGGCCAGGGGATGGTCACTGAGGTTTAAAGAGGACCCCTTAAACAAAGGGCTAGAACCCCAGGCCCCTCATCTCTCGGGACAAAATGACACATGTGGGCCTAGCTTGGGTGACCAGAGTCCCGCTTTTTGCGGGACAGTCCCGATTTTTGGCGTTTTAGAAAAGTCCCGATTTTTTGAAAGAATGCACGACAAGCTAGGGAACGGTCTATTTGGTCCATGTAGACCAAATTTTTAATCAAGAAACCCCCACCCCCTGGTTAATGGTGTCCCGCGTTAAATCTGGTCACCCTAGACACTCGAGGTCAAGGGACAGCTGATTTACGCAAGTGGAGAGAAGTGGGGAGGCCGAGACGCAAACGCTTAAACCTTCCCCGTAAAATGCCGACCAAAGGAGGAAACGGATTCTCTCGGAAGCCCGGGCATGTTTCCTTCTCGCTTGGCAAAAAGCAGACAGAACAAAAGCCATCCGCACATCCCCAAATAGGCACACTCTCTTGTCTTTTTACTTGAGTCCCGTGCGTGCCCTTAGCCACCTCATGTGTGCCCCCTGAGAGATGCTTCGGGAACAAAGGCCCTGGCTGAGCCCTTGCTCAGTGAACTTGGATCCTGTGGGGCAGAAGCAGGAGTTGGAGCCTGAGATGCCCGCGCCAGGCGCCCCCCGGCTGCTTCTGGACTGGGAGGCGTGCCCACACCTCGGGGGTGGGGGATACCCTGGGACTGCCAGGAGCCGCACGGCCCCATCTTTCTCCCGATGCAAAATCCTGCTGAGCGTGGGGCTGGCTCTCGGGTGGCCTGGGTGGGGTCTCTGAGGGCCCCTAGGGAGCTTCTCTTGCTCTGGGCCGCCCCTCCCTGAGGTCACTCCCCTGGGCCCCCGTCCACATCTCATGGCCCTGGTCTCCCCTCACCATCACTAGGACCTTCCGGAGCAGAGGTTCTCAGGGGTCTCGGCGCTCTGTCTTGGGGACAACGCAGAGCGGTCTGGAAGCAGATCAGTCCGTGGGTGAGGCTGACTGTGAAACAGGTGTCCTTCCGGAAGCCATGCAGGCCGGGGTGGTTGGTGCTAAGAAACGTGTCTGCAGCAGTGCCCCTCCCCACAGAAAGGCTCTCCCTCCCGCTCCCCCTGCCCCCCTAGCCTCTGCTGGGCGCCCTGGAGACCCCTAGCGGCTTCTCACCAGCTCCAGCCATCCACCAAGTTCTCCCCGGCAACAGCACAGGCTGTGACCCTGTGACCCTCATCTGACCCTGTCTGGGAAGTCACACAGAGGCTGTCTTGCAGTTACCCCTGCCCTCCACCTCCTCTCCTCCCGGGCCCAGCTCCACACAGATGCCCCTGGGAACCCTTCAAGTGTGCCGACCTCAAGGGCCACCCCCAGGAGGGTCACTCTGTTCCGCCGCCCCTGCCCCCGTTTCCCCGTGGTTGATTTCTAGCCGTTTCGCGTGGCACAGGGCAGGGACCGCGGATGCCATCATCACCTTTCTATCCTGCAGATACAATGAGAGGGATGGGTGGTTATTGAGAACTTCACTCCGGACGGTAGACTCGGCCCACAGGGACCCCATAGGACCCTAGGACTGCCCTGTAGGGTGTCTGAGCCGGTCAACCTGCGGAAGCAGACTGCCGCATCTGTCCCCGGCAGGCTTCCAACCGCTGGCCTTTCAGCCGGCAGCCTGACCCACTGCGGCACTGAGACTCCCAGATGGATGCGACGCCGCAGTGGCTTGGTTGTGCCGAGCACTGATTCTGCTCTTGTGAAAAGTCTCCCCTCTAATTCACAGAGGGGGCAGTGAGGGGGCTGGGGAAGGGGCGGGCCTCAATGCCCAGGGTCTTCCAGGGATGGCATAGGGCCCAAGCAATCTCATTTCATTACCGATAAACATCACTTAATTACAGAGAGAAACGTGCACGGTTGTGTGAGTTTCAGAAGATACCGAGGCGCCTCGGGCCGCCCGGTGTGTGTGAGAAAGGCAGAGATCATCGAGGGGACACGCTCCCGGGCTTCGGGCACGTCTGTTGAGACGAGCCGGGTTCGGTTCCACGGTCTCCCTCTCCCAAGGCTGGATTTGGGCTCCGGATGGCCTTGTGGCAGGGCCCTTTCTGCTGCAGGAGGGCAGACGTTTGAACCCCAAAGATAGGTCCCAGAGTGAACTTTCGGTCCCTCCCCAATCCTACTCCTACCTCTTGAACCCCCAGGATTCAGCACCTACTTGACTTTGGAG